TTACAGTCTGTTACAGTGTTACAGTCTGTTACAGTGTTACAGTCTGTTACAATGTTACAGTCTGTTACAGTGTTACAGTCTGTTACAATGTTACAGTCTGTTACAGTGTTACCGTCTGTTACAATGTTACAGTCTGTTACAGTGTTACAGTCTGTTACAATGTTACAGTCTGTTACAGTGTTACCGTCTGTTACAGTGTTACAGTCTGTTACAGTGTTACATAACGAGGTTGTTACTGGGGAAATATTTATGTTTACACCTGAATATTCACGGAAATATTAAGTAAATTATTCTCTCCAGCAATATTCAATAATGGTCACTATTTTGAGATGTACTTGTGCCTAAAGTAGCTTGTTGCTTAAACAGTCACGTGTGGGACTGCGGTATCTGGAAATAGATCGTGTGGAACAACGCAGTAAAGGTGAGTATTGCTTGACCCGGGTTTCTGGTGTGGTTGTGTTTGGTTTTACGCGTGTAAGACAAAATTTGGCGGGTAAAACATCTGACCGCGAAACAAGGGTACGCGCGCAACAATGGCGGCCGTGACCTGACCACGCTTGTGACGGAGGCAGCAGTGACGCGACCACGCTGGTGACGGAGGCAGCAGTGACGCGACCACGCTGGTGACGGAGGCAGCAGTGACGCGACCACGCTGGTGACGGAGGCAGCAGTGACGCGACCACGCTGGTGACGGAGGCAGCAGTGACGCGACCACGCTGGTGACGGAGGCAGCAGTGACGCGACCACGCTGGTGACGGAGGCAGCAGTGACGCGACCACGCTGGTGACGGAGGCAGCAGTGACCTGACCACGCTGGTGACGGAGGCAGCAGTGACGCGACCACGCTGGTGACGGAGGCAGCAGTGACGCGACCACGCTGGTGACGGAGGCAGCAGTGACGCGACCACGTTGGTGACGGAGGCAGCAGTGACGCGACTACGCCGGTGAAGGAGACGACAGTGACGTAACTCATGGGTACTGGGTCACTCACATGAAGAATACCACACTCATGGGTACTGGATTTAGGGTCATCATTCACATTATAATACCAGACACATGAGTACTGTTTGGGATCAAAGAGAATTAAACTAAAAATTATACCCCAAAAATTTGAAATTATTATTATTATTAATATTATTATTATTATTATTATTATTATTATTATTATTATTATTATTATTATTTAAATAATATTACTTTTATTAACATATATCGGGAACCTTTTCATTTTCTTTCTTTTTTTCCGTCCAATTTTTCGTTTTTATTTCTCCTATAATTCAAGGCTCAATCGCGACAGTTAAAATTTTTAACACTGACGTACGATAACCTGGTCCAAATTCTAGGAGCAGTTCGAGTGTGCAGGTCCACTGCAAGGAAAGTTGTTGAGCTCGTTCCCAGCATCCCTGACTGGCTCTGATAACTTCCATAACACTCTGCAACATTACTTCTAACATTAAATATGTTGTTTCCTCATTCAGCGACTACCGAGAGCGATGTTCAAGTGTAGGTGAACACCTGCCACTTTTATGTGCTCCTCGCCCCTATGTGCGGGTTGTTTGTGTGTTGTTCCAGTCACGGTGTTGTGAATTTTTGTTCTTGATGCACTAAATTTATTTATAAGATTTGGAATAGTGGAGTTCTGTGTGATAACTAAAGAATGCCTCTTCTGATAGCCTTCAAATCTTCAGTTATGATGAGTTTTTCAGAGTGAATGGAGACAAATGGTATTTGGGACCTGACGAGCTGTTGGAGTGTGAGCAGGGTAACATTTAGTGAAGGGATTCAGGGAAACCGGTTATTTTATATAACCGGACTTGAGTCCTGGAAATGGGAAGTACAATGTCTGCACTTTAAAGGAGGGGTTTGAGATATTGGCAGTTTGGAGGGATATATTGTGTATTTTTATACGTATATACTTGTAAACTGTTGTATTCTGGGCACCTCTGCAAAAACAGTGATTATGATTGAGTGAGGTGAAAGTGTTGAATGATGATGAAAGTATTTTCTTTTGGGGGATTTTCTTTCTCTTTGGGTCACCCTGCCTCGGTGGGAGACGGCCGACTTGTTGAAAAAAAAAAATCCCAGTTTATAATATTCAATAAATTGTTATGGTTTTCCATTCAATAAGGAAAACCTCATTTTCTAGGCTACGAAATATTAACATTAATTTGGTGCAAAGTGGAAATTTTAACAAAATTGTTAAAATTCTTTTAATTGTCTTATTCGGAGGGATCCCTTGGGAATGCCTTTTCTGATAGTCTTCAAATTTTCCGTGTTGTCGGGCTTAATTTAAAGGAATCTTGGTTGTCACTTTCAGATGTATAAAATAAAAAAAATTCTCACAGGATTGTAGAGAATTTTGAATGTAATAAAACTGCCGAATAAATTGAAAATTGTTAAATAATCAAAACTCACTTTTTTTAATAACGCTTTAAATATTTACAAAGTTAAGGTGAGGACGAGACATCATTGTAAGTTCCAGTGACGTCATTGTAAGCTCCAGTGACGTCATTGTAAGCTCCAGTGACGTCATTGTAAGCTCCAGTGACGTCATTGTAAGCTCCAGTGACGTCATTGTAAGCTCCGGCGACGTCATTGTAAGCTCTGGCGACGTCATTGTAAGCTCCAGTGACGTCATTGTAAGCTCCAGTGACGTCATTGTAAGCTCTGGCGCTCATTGTAAGCTCCAGTGCTCATGAAGCTTGGACGTCATTGTAAGCTCCAATGACGTCTTGTAAGCCGGTGACGTCATTGTAAGCTCCGTGACGTCATTGTAAGCTCCAGGGGACGTCATTGTAAGCTCCGGTGACGTCATTGTAAGCTCCGGTGACGTCATTGTAAGCTCCAGTGACGTCATTGTAAGCTCCAGTGACGTCATTGTAAGCTCCAGTGACGTCATTGTAAGCTCGGTGACGTCAGTAACTCCATGACATTGAAGCTCCGGTGACGTCATTGTAAGCTCCAGTGACGTCATTGTAAGCTCCGGCGACGTCATTGTAAGCTCCGGTGACGTCATTGTAAGCTCCAGTGACGTCATTGTAAGCTCCAGTGACATCATTGTAAGCTCCAGTGACATCATTGTAAGCTCCAGTGACATCATTGTAAGCTCCAGTGACGTCATTGTAAGCTCCGTGACATTGTAAGCTCCGGTGACTCATTGTAAGCTCCAGTGACTCATTGTAAGCTCCGTGACATCATTGTACTCCAGTGACATCTTTAGCTCCGGACTATTGTAAGCTCCAGTAATCTTGTAACCCTGACATCATTGTAAGCTCGTACAATCATTTAACTCAGTGACTTCATTGTAAAGCTCAGTGACATCATGTAAGCTCCAGTAAATATTGAAGCTCAGTGACATACATTGTAGCTCCGGTGACGTCATTTGTAAAGCTCCATGAGTCATTAAGCTACATGAATTTTAAGCTAGTGACTGTAAGCTACCGTGACATTATTGTAAGCTCCAGTGCATCATGTAAGCTCCAGTGTTTCGTTTACAATTCTCAAATTATGTAGATCGCCTATCCGATCATTTCACATTTAATATGATTTAATTTCAAGTGCAGCTCTGTTGCAATCAGTAAATTCCTTGTTATTAGGCACCTAGAACATTACCAAGATATGTTCCCTGACGTAACTTATAAAGTCCTGTTGGCTACAAATTTCAACAGTGCTGTACCTACTTAAAGTGTATTGTTAGGATGCTAGGTCTGAATCTTCAGAATAGAGGTCAGATTTACTTATCTTACTGGATCTGCTTCCTGCAGCGAACTTGATGCCATGTGAGTTGATACAGGTGTACCTGAATAGAAGTGTACTTGATGCAGCTGTACCTTGGTGCAGTGTATCTTGATGCGATGTGCTTGATGAGGTGAACGGTTGCGAATTGAGGTAATGAGATTTTCGCTTGCATGGAACTGTCCCATTAAACTGTAATTAACACTTCCAGAAAAAAATTATATCACGTGAATTTAAGCTGTCTAGTTTGAAATGGCTGATAAGTTATAGGTGGGAGGGAGAGCAGTAGTGAGATTTGTTGTTCACTACAGTAATTTATATCTCACGATGAAAATAATCACTGTTACTATTGAATCCATCTTAAATCAAAATCATATGCAATTATATTCGTACCGTCTTCACTGCATAATGTTGTAAACAGAGGTAAAATAAAAGTTAGTTTCTTAAAACTTAAATGCTGGCGAATCTTTCTCGAAGAGAAGTTTGAATTATTTTATCCTGTGTAGTTCCATTTTGGCTTTTTCTTATGAAGTTGAGAAGCTTGAAATACAGCTTTTCATAAGATAACGTCTGATTGTCGCTTCTGATTGGCTTAAACTCTTCAACGCGATTACCTGATAATGCAAATTCTGAGCGGCTTCAAACTTAACGCACTGGTATATTTTAGGATGCTCGTCTTTCTCAGATAACAAGAGAATATCTTTTCAGTTGACCTTTAAATCTAGTGTTTCTCAGTGGAAACTTTTTAATTCGTTTTGGGCTATGTGTGCCTAATTATTTCAATTTTTATTGAAGAAATTGCAATATTGGTTTCCTTGTGATGACTTGTAAATACCTCTTACCAAGAGCTTTACATCTATAACGTTAATGTTTAAATACATTTCAAACCTAAGTGGCACTCCGTAGAGTTGCTGTCATGTACAGGGAGGTCCAGGGGGACGGCAATATGCAACACGGTTGTAACCTTGACGAATGACGCACCAACCAAAATTTATCTAGTAAAAACGATTTCTAAGTAATAATATGAGTGTAAACAAATCAGGGAACGGGTGGGGTTTGAACCCATGGCAAGTGAGTCCTAAAACTCACAGGCCAGTGTGTTAACCAGTAGACCAGCTGAATCAAGACTCAACCACGTAGTTGGATATATCTTATCAGAGCTGTCGGTTGAGCTCCAGCTCTTGACCTTGCCTCTTAAAGTGAGTTGACCTCATGAACTATATCATACCTGCTCTTGAAACTGTGCATGTGTGTTGGGGTACTCACCGAGGATGCCGTCGATACTGTGGTCTTTGCGAGGGTCGTCATCCCTCTTACCACCTCTGAGGATCCTGCTGATAGAGCTGACGGAGGGAGCTGACGCCTTGTCCACCACACCCTCCTGCAGGAAGAACAAGCACAAGCTACAACACTGGACACCTCAAATATCTAATAACAACCTATATACATTTATCATTGTAAACCACGGTTGACCTTTGTAAACTATGGGTGACCCCTGGTAATAAAACATGGGTGACCCCTGGTAATAAAACATGGGTGACCCCTGGTAATAAAACATGGGTGACCCAAGTAATGGTAATAAACTGAAGTTCGGCGGGTATTATCTTAATCAGTAAACTCAGTTCATCCAACAATGTTAGGCCAGCCAGGAATCATATAAAAATGATTAAATTTCAAAAATATTATAACTTCAACAAGATCACTAGAACAAGAAATTAACTATATTATATACAGTACATTTACTTGATAAATTTATCAACTTGTCGGTTCTCTGAACCATTTATCTATAGTAATTATTATTATTATTTATTATTATTATTATTATTATTATTTTGTTAGACTGGAAACATGTTGCTACAGGTCTGCCAGACGCTGCATTTTGTCCTGTGACTCAACAATCAAGAATAATTTAACCCCTAAAATTTTGGAGTAAATTCTCAGTGTATAGTGTACTAAAAAGGATGTAAATCTCTATGTATATATACTACGGTACATCCACCTCTTATTCTATACATATTGAGAGATATACCTTTCTCCATGTATATATGAATTTGATTACAATTCATTAGCTTTTTTTAATATATATTATTATTATTTATTATTATAATTATTATTATTTTATGTTCTGCGTCAGAGAGCATCAATTCAAACAATTTTGAGAGGCCTATTTTTATTTTTAATTTGTTAGTTGCTGTGTTTTTCATATGTGTAAATACTGGGATCCTCGACGTTCTGGACGTGGTACTCTGAGACATGTTCCTGGAGGATCCTGGAGTGATGCCAAGGCATCGTTCCAGGAGGATCCTGGAGTGATGCCAAGGCATGTTCCTGGAGGATCCTGGAGTGATGCCAAGGCATCGTTCCAGGAGGATCCTGGAGTGATGCCAAGGCATGTTCCTGGAGGATCCTGGAGTGATGCCAAGGCATGTTCCTGGAGGATCCTGGAGTGATGCCAAGGCATCGTTCCTGGAGTGATGCCGAGGCATCGTTCCTGGAGGATCCTGGAGTGATGCCATGGCATCGTTCCTGGAGGATCCTGGAGTGATGCCAAGGCATCGTTCCTGGAGTGATGCTGAGGCATCGTTCCTGGAGGATCCTGGAGTGATGCCAAGGCATCGTTCCTGGAGGATCCTGGAGTGATGCCAAGGCATCGTTCCTGGAGGATCCTGTGATGTCCTGCAGTGATGTCAAGGAATCGTTCCTGGAGGATCCTGGAGCGATCCCAAGGCTTCGTTCCTGGAGGATCCTGTAATGTCCCGCAGTGATGTCAAGGCATCGTTCTGGAGGATCCTGTGACGTCCTGCAGTGATGTCAAGGCATCGTTCCTGGACGATCCTGGAGTGATGCCAAGGCGTTCCTGGAGGATCCTGTAATGTCCCACCGTGATGTCAAGGCATCGTTCCTGGAGGATCCTGTGATATCCTGAACTGATGTCAAGGCATCGTTCCTGGAGGATCCTGTGATGCCCTGCAGTGATGTCAAGGCATCGTTCCTGGAGGATCCTTGAGTGATGTCAAGGCATCGTTCCTGAAGGATCGTGGAGTGATGTCAAGGCATAGTTCCTGGAGGATTCTGTAATGTCCTGCAGTGATGTCAAGGCATCGTTCCTAGAGGATCCTGTGATATCCTGCAGTGATGTCAAGGCATCATTCCTGGAGGATACTTGAGTGATGTCAAGGCATCCTTCCTGGAGAATCCTGGAGAGATGTCAAGGCATCGTTCCTGGAGGATCCTGTGATATCCTGCAATGATATCAAGGCATCGTTCCTTCAGGATCCTGGAATAATGTGAAAGCATCGTTTCTGGAGGATCCTGGAGTGATGTCAAGGCGTCGTTCCTGGAGGATCCTGGAGTGATGTCAATTTTTCGTTCCTGGAGGATCCTGTGATGTCCTGCAGTGATGTCAAGACATCGTTCCTGGAGGATCCTGGAGTGATGTCAAGGCATCGTTCCTGGAGGATCCTGGAGAGATGTCAAGGCATCGTTCCTGGAGGATCCTGTGATATCCTGCAGTGATGTCAAGGCATCGTTCCTGGAGGATCCTGGAATGATGTGAAGGCATCGTTTCTGGAGGATCCTGGAGTGATGTCAAGGCATCGTTCCTCGAGGATCCTGGAGTGATGTCAAGGCATCATTCCTGGAGGATCCTGCGATGTCCTGCAGTGATGTCAAGACATCGTTCCTGGAGGATCCTGGAGCGATGCCAAGGCATCGTTCCTGGAGGATCCTGGAGTGATGTCAAGGCATCGTTCCTGGAGGATCCTGTGATATCCTGCAGTGAAGTCAAGGCATCGTTCCTGGAGGATCCTTGAGTGATGTCAAGGCATCGTTCCTGGAGGATCCTGGAGTGATGTCCTGCAGTGATGTCAAGGCATCGTCCCTGGAGGATCCTGTGATGTCCTGGAGAGATGTCAAGGCATCGTTTCTGGAGGATCCTGTGATGTCCTGCAGTGATGTCAAGGCATCGTTCCTGGAGGATCCTGGAGTGATGTCAAGGCATTGTTCCTTGAGGATCTTGTGATGTCCTGCAGGATGTCAAGGCATTCCTGGAGGATCCTGAAGAGATGTCAAGGCATCGTTTCTGGAGGATCCTGTGATATCCTGCAGTGATGTCAAGGCATCGTTCCTGGATGATCCTGGAATGATGTGAAGGCATCGTTTCTGGAGGACCCTTGAGTGATGTCAAGGCATCGTTCCTCGAGGATCCTGGAGTGATGTCAAGGCATGTTCCTGAGGATCCTGTGATGTCCTGGATGATTCAAGCATCGTTCCTGGAGGATCCTGAGTGATGTCAAGGCATCGTTCCTGGAGGATCCTGGAGTGATGTCCTGCAGTGATGTCAAGCATCGTTCCCTGGAGGATCCTGTGATGTCCTGGAGATGTCAAGGCATCGTTTCTGGAGGATCCTGTGATGTCCTTCAGTGATGTCAAGGCATCGTTCCTGGAGGATCCTGGAGTGATGTCAAGGCATTGTTCCTTGAGGATCTTGTGATGTCCTGCAGTGATGTCAAGGCATTCCTGGAGGATCCTCCAGAGATGTCAAGGCATCGTTCCTGGATGATCCTGGAGAGATTTCAAGCATCGTTCCTGGATCTGTGATATCCTGCAGTGATGTCAAGGCATCGTTCCTGGATGATCCTGAGAGATTTCAAGGCATCGTTCCTGGATGATCCTGGAGAGATTTCAAGGCATCGTTCCTGGAGGATACTTGAGTGATGTCAAGGCATCGTTCCTGGAGGATCCTGTGATATCCTGCAGTGATGTCAAGGCATCGTTCCTGGAGGATCCTGGAATGATGTGAAGGCATCGTTTCTGGAGGATCCTGGAGTGATGTCAAGGCATCGTTCCTCGAGGATCCTGGAGTGATGTCAAGGCATTCCTGGAGGATCCTGTGATGTCCTGGAGTGATGTCAAGGCATCGTTCCCGGAGGATCCTGGAGTGATGTCAAGGCATCGTTCCTGGAGGATCCTGGAGTGATGTCAAGGCATCGTTCCTGGAGGATCTGCGATGTCTCAGTGATGTCAAGACATCGTTCCTGGAGGATCCTGGAGCGATGCCAAGGCATCGTTCCTGGAGGATCCTGGAGTGATGTCAAGGCATCGTTCCTGGAGGATCCTGTGATATCCTGCAGTGAAGTCAAGGCATCGTTCCTGGAGGATCCTTGAGTGATGTCAAGGCATCGTTCCTGGAGGATCCTGGAGTGATGTCCTGCAGTGATGTCAAGGCATCGTCCCTGGAGGATCCTGTGATGTCCTGGAGAGATGTCAAGGCATCGTTTCTGGAGGATCCTGTGATGTCCTGCAGTGATGTCAAGGCATCGTTCCTGGAGGATCCTGGAGTGATGTCAAGGCATTGTTCCTTGAGGATCTTGTGATGTCCTGCAGTGATGTCAAGGCATTCCTGGAGGATCCTGGAGAGATGTCAAGGCATCGTTTCTGGAGGATCCTGTGATATCCTGCAGTGATGTTAAGGCATCGTTCCTGGATGATCCTGGAATGATGTGAAGGCATCGTTTCTGGAGGACCCTGGAGTGATGTCAAGGCATCGTTCCTCGAGGATCCTGGAGTGATGTCAAGGCATCGTTCCTGGGAGATCCTGTGATGTCCTGGAGTGATGTCAAGGCATCGTTCCTGGAGGATCCTTGAGTGATGTCAAGGCATCGTTCCTGGAGGATCCTGGAGTGATGTCCTGCAGTGATGTCAAGGCATCGTCCCTGGAGGATCCTGTGATGTCCTGGAGAGATGTCAAGGCATCGTTTCTGGAGGATCCTGTGATGTCCTTCAGTGATGTCAAGGCATCGTTCCTGGAGGATCCTAGAGTGATGTCAAGGCATTGTTCCTTGAGGATCTTGTGATGTCCTGCAGTGATGTCAAGGCATTCCTGGAGGATCCTCCAGAGATGTCAAGGCATCGTTCCTGGATGATCCTGGAGAGATTTCAAGGCATCGTTCCTGGATGATCCTGTGATATCCTGCAGTGATGTCAAGGCATCGTTCCTGGATGATCCTGGAGAGATTTCAAGGCATCGTTCCTGGATGATCCTGGAGAGATTTCAAGGCATCGTTCCTGGAGGATACTTGAGTGATGTCAAGGCATCGTTCCTTGAGGATCCTGGAGAGATGTCAAGGCATCGTTCCTGGAGGATCCTGTGATATCCTGCAGTGATGTCAAGGCATCGTTCCTGGATGATCCTGGAATGATGTGAAGGCATCGTTTCTGGAGTATCCTGGAGTGATGTCAAGGCATCGTTCATGGAGGATCCTGGAGTGATGTCAAGGCATCGATCATGGAGGATCCTGTGATATCCTGCAGTGATGTCAAGGCATCGTTCCTGGAGGATCCTGGAGAGATGTAAGGCATCGATCCTGGAGGATCCTGTGA